CTGACAGAAAAGTAGATTTATGAGAGAGACCAGCTGGACTGCAACCCTGTTACTGTTACTGTAATTGCTTGTCTCCAGAGGAAAATTTTCCTTACAAGTTGCCCACCTTTAGAAATTGCTGAGCTCACTGCAAGGGCTTAGAAGGCAGCAGCAAGAAGGATATCTTCTTCCCCAAGACACTTGGAGGAAAAACACTAAACAAATTGAATGGGTTCAAGAGGTGGATCCCCTGCAAGTATTTTCGCACATCAGAGGTAAATTTTCCTTTAGTTCTGGCAGCAGCAGAATTACAACCATGAATAGCATTTTGAAAATGCTGCTCTGAGTTCTGACTTGTATCTGTGTGCACATGTTTATATATACATGCAAGTATATAGAAGCTGTGTTTTCATTATACTTGTGTATATTATGCATGCATCAATTAAATAGTATAATTAAATTACATATTTTATGTGTATTTCTTTGCATAAAGTAATACTCTATATTACTAAGCAGGATTTTAACAAAAAATTATCTTTTGAAGTGTAATTCACTTATATCTCCTCATTTTTGCTCACACTGCAGCAGATCTGTAAACCTTTCCTGTAGATATGCAGTGATCATATCAAAAAACACTGCTTGAGGCTGGTTACATGAGTCAATTATATTGTTTTATTACTTCCTTTTTCTGTAAGATTGGGCACTGAAAACAAATCAATTAATTACACTCCTGCATTTTCTCAATAAAAWGCCTTTCAGGATCAAGATTAGATATGCCTTCCACGCTGAAATGTTATTTTAAATTACCCTTTTCTGTTCACTTCTCACTTCCAATGTGTGATGCATGGGGCACAGCTCCATTTGTTTGCTGTTCCTACCAGAGTTTGAAAACTCTGAAGAAAAGACAACCCACATTTTTTAAAAGCCACTTTCCAGAAATCTGTCACAGAGGAGAAATGCATTGGGTGGAAGGCGTTCAGTGGGTGCATATGARAGGCAGCCAGAGGAGTGAAAAATGGAATATTAAAGCACAGGAAGGGACACAAAGTGTGGAAACAGCAACAAAGCTGAAGTCAAGTTAAGGAGAATGATGCCTTCAGGATGGAGTGGGCTCTTTCAGGCAGAGCCACGCAGGCTGGGATGAACCAAACAAACCCAAGTGTTACCATGCTGCTGCACAACGAGACAGGGCCAATATGTGTCACCGCAATTTAAGGGAAGATTCTCACACTCCCACAAATGTGGAAGGAGAGCTCTTATAGGAAAAGTGCACAGAACCAGTGTGGGTGACACTGCTGCTATTTGTGCTTCAGGAGGAAAAGGTCTTTCAAGCTCATGACCAAATTTCTACTGCCTCTTCTGCAGTAAAGTCAGACTCATACTCAAAATAATCTAATGTTATGGCAGATGTTAATGTTAYTATGATGGATAAATTTAATATTTTGATTTCACCATGGACAAAGAGAGTATCAAAGTTACTATCAGTAACTGCTTTTGTTTGCATAAAGAGGATCACTATCAAAAAGCAAAAAGTAAACATGTTTAATAAAAATGCATGGTGASGCTGTCCCTAGTTGTCTAGAAAATGTAGCAAATTCCTTTTTAAAGTAGCCACAGGGTCAGACAATAGACATTATAGTCTGAATTATTCTGCACAGCCCTAAAAAATTGAGCTGGGAACAATTTTGTGACAACCCTTTTGTAGAGATTCCACAGTAGTTGATGGAGAAACAATAGGGTTTTTCATCATTATTTTCCATTGTTCCTGGAAAAGGCTGTAGTCATTCAGCCTGCAAATACCACAAGTACATGCAAATGTGTGAGACACACACATATACAAATATTTGGGTACAAAATGGACAACAGTGACTGAAAGTTAAACTTGCCTGTTCTTGGACCTGAGCTTTCAAAGACCTCCAAAAGAGAACATGAATATTGTATCCTATGGACTTTCTCACCTGAAATTGGGAAGATACAGATTTACAATATATTGAATTCAAAGTTTGCTACTAGAATGAGAACTACTACATATGTAAAAACATAATCACTGGCCCACAAAAAAACAGACTAGTAGAATCAGAGTTTCACAAGATTCTCTGAGCACAATTTCAGATACAAAATTTGCTAGGAAATAATTTTAAAGCAACATAATGATTTCATATTCAGTGACAAAGCTTGCCTAATATTTGTATTAAACAATAYTGCAGATAATCAACTTTGACTTTCATCTGGTTCTGCTCATCTTTAGATGCTCACATCAATATATGACCATAGTTTGTATATAAACATTCCCATATTAGCCATAAGACTGTGAAAATTGATCAAAACAAACATTACCTTGGCGTGCACAGGTGATAACAAAGCCTCTCCTAGTGAGAGCAAAACATCTTRGAAATCCAGTCTGTTCATCTAAACACCATATTGTATCACCTTTTAGTATATCTATCTTAAAAATWTGACTGCTTTTTTAAAGCCTAAATCAAAACAAAAAAAAGAAACAAAACCCTACAGTCGGATCTTTCTAAGTATTAAACTCTTTGGTGAAACCCCAGTAACCAGATATATAGAAGCAGGGCAGACATTCTGAACACATGAAAACAACAGTGTGATTAAAGGGTTCTGTCAATTGAAAACCACCAGGAGCATCCTCATTTTAGCCTGAAAGTGCCCATTACTGCTCCGCATGCAAAACAGCAGAATGAACATAATACATGTCMTAAATTAAACATCATAGAGATTCTTAATGTTCCATGAAGGCATTTATTCACCCTGAAAGGTAACATTTAGGTATTCTCTTTTACACTAGTGATGGAGTATTACTCATTCATCAGTTCTTTCCAGAGATCTTGCTATGAATATTCAGCTCTTGCTTACAATGAAGAATCCAAGGTGCTCTGCAATACTTAGGCTCTGGTATAGTACCATTGTCATACAGATGAACCAGAGTGAATGAGACTACAGTACCACACATGTCATTCATAACCATCATGTGATGGGATAGATGAAGCYCAACCTGCAAGGAGTGGAGGAGGAAAAATGTCTTTGGAAATAGAAATGCCAACCAATTTCAAAGTTTGAAATCTGGCAGAAAGGAGACATGACTACATATTCTTTCCTTGGACTCAAATATCAGATGACAGAAGAAGATGAGGGAAAGGAAACAAAATTTTCAGAACCTTCCAGAATGWCAATAATGAAGAAAACCTATTTCCATGAGGACAAAGGCTGCTTAGGGGGTCTGCCATAACTGCTCTGAGGCTGGCAAAATATTTGAATACATTTCAATTGTCATTTTCATTATTATTGCTAATTCAGGTTTGTCAAATTCTCTTGCTTCTCAGTAAATGAGGAAAAGGGCTGGGAGATGGATGTAAAACAGACTCTGTTCCTAATCATCCTGGAGATAATGCCAAGGTCAGCCATACTGAACAGCACAATRTACTGTGTGACTCAATGCACACTTGCAGCAATAGTCATTAAACGAGTTAGAAAACACTAAACTTTTTGTTACTGTCTGCAAAACAAACTTCATCTAGTCTTGGTGATTCTGGTTGGGCAGAATCACTTTTTTTTCAGGAAGAAAGAGTGCTAATGAATATATTAAAGAATTATAAAAATAATTTTAAATGGATTTTTTAAAGAAAGTTTTGAGTAACTTAAGATCTCCTGCCTTTCAGCTCAGGGCATATCAGACCAAGAAGTTTGTGCCATGACTTCTCTTTTGGTATTAAATTAAAATCTGAAAGACTTTMTGATATAAGAATTTAAATCTGTCTGTGACTACAAGTTAAATGGTTTCTGTGTAGACTTTGGTCCAGTAAAATGGTGGAAAACTGCTTTTGTTAAGGACAGCTACTTAATGCTTGCATTTATCATGTTAGCTGCATGGAGCTGATGTCATGGTCGCTTGAAGAGGACAAGCTATGGAAGTCATGGTAAATGCCATATACAAAATAACTACCAAAAGCATAAATAAATCCACAGCTTTGTTCAACTTGTGTTCAACTTCACAATCATAGACATATGTGTCACCATGATTTACACATTCATTTACATCTTTGTTATCACTGGCAACTTTTTAAAATMGGATTTGGTTAAAAGAGGTCATAGCATGAATGTAGCTAGCACGTATTTGTGGCCACAAMACCCAGCAAAAAGGATATGCACAAGGAGCACAATGTGCTGCATGGGATGTCAAAACCGATATGTAACACAGCAGTGGGAGACACCAGCACTGATCAAATACATTTGTCCTTAAGGGTTCCTTCCTACAGCTCACACTGTGAAGCAGAGTCATTCTGATCTCTCCTAGGAAAGAGTACAGCTGGTCCTACTGCTGCACAGAATGTATTTCCAGCAWGGAATAAAGGAAGACGATGATCCCTACAGCGTTAGCTCATCTTTAGCAGTGCAGAGTAAGGAAGCAATATCCTTACTAAAACCATTTGTTAATTCCCTTCCGAATGCTGCACTTGCTGAAATGTAACTGGGAAGAGTGGGAARAGAAAATGATGTCTCAGACACAAAAAGAAGCTTTGGACAATATACTATATCATGAGTAAAAGTTTTACTGTTGGATGATATTTCCTTGCTGTGGAGTTTTGAGGCCTAGCASTATTCTTTTTATTAGTTTCTATTCTTGATTGCTTTGTTGAGGAGAACCCTTTCCAGAGCTGTGGTTTGCACTGATGATATGGTCAGTGGTCCTTGGCTGGTGGGCAGATGACATTGGCTTACATTCCAAATGACAACAATCTCTTCTCCCCTTCACTTTGAATAAATTCAACTCACTCTCCAGCACACATYCAGACCATCCAAGTGGCACAGTTCTGTGACAAATGTCAAAGGCAAAACTGGAAGCTGGTCCAAAATTTAGAAAATAGTCATCTAGGATATCTGTGTTGGCACTGTTATTCAAATAGGGAAATATACAGGTAATTCTTCAATGCAAGATTATCAACTGGATAATCTAATACTTTTCATCAACCCCCTTTTTTCCCCCAAGGAATGAGAGTGTTTACCTTCAGTCCTGTCTGGTAGTTTCCCACTTTTACTTGTTGTTCCAGTGTTGACTGTTTCAGATGAGGTGCTCAGTTTGGTGTTGGGGTCTCKCTTCGGCTTTGGAGGCGGCTGCTTTCGAGAGCTGCTGCTTTCATCATCGGTCCCTCCAACGGAGTGGAGAGACTGRGATCTGACAGTGAAGCCACTGGAGCAGGGGTGTGGCAATCTGTCCTGAGGAGCAGGCATTGTCATAAATCCCATGCGGAAATGTTTCCCCACGTAGCTGCCTTCATTTCCTCTTGCTACTTCTCCACCTATGCTGTAACAGAAAATACAAATATAAATAAAAGATCCATGTTTGCCTGAACTGTACCTGGAACCAGGCTCTCAATTCTGCCTGTGATGAGCAGATAGTACTTTTGAATTTTCAAACAAGCCATGYTCTTCTCTATCCACAAGATGACTACCAGAAAAGTCTATTTTTCAACATAAGCTGCCAACAACTGAGACATATATACACTGCTGTGCACTCAGAATTTTGCAAGAAGAAACCAAGAAAAGCTTTTGTCAGGTTTCATAGCATTGTAACTAGAAATTTTCTACAGAATAAATTTCAAACACTGAAAGTCAGAACTGAGTTTTCAGGAAAACAAGAGACTGTGAGTAGGGCAAGRAATAATACTTTAGAAATACAACATGGTGTATTGATCTACACTCCCTGACACTTATCTTTGACTACAGATGCTCATGTAGCTTGGGAAACAAGGCTTGTGTGGTCCAATCAATCGTTTCCCTAGAGACTGAGGGATGGTAAAGAAGAAATGTTCTAAAAATTACTTGGATATAGGAAACCAAACATTAACATCTCATCAAATCCACATAAATCTGCAACACAAGCAGCTTCAGACTAGTAAATTACAAATGTATGGGATGAAAAGGCTGTGGACTGTGGGACACCAGGAAGAAAATAATCTCCAGCCATTCAGAAACACAGAAAAAGAAGGAAAGTTCAGCTGAAACAAGTGCTATCACATCAAGTACTGCATTTTCCTGTGGGTGGCACAGCTGAGAACTTGGTATTATTCCTGTTCTGCTCATGCCCATCAGTTSTGAAAAAACAGCTCTTACTGGTGTTTATACTGCAAACCAACAGCRCATTTCAATTCAGGCAAGGCAGTAACTATGCAGAGAAACTCAGTAACACACACAGGTCAATGTGGGCCTCTTTGCAAGGAGGTTTGAAATGGTACCACATAGAAATGTGGTGGGCACATAGAAATGTCAGTACAAGAWCTGTGAAGTGTCAGAAAGCTCTAATTAGCTCCTGTTTCCCCTTCACAGAGAGTGAAGCTCTAAGCAGGGTCAATGCTTCTTTGAAAGTTTCTTACTCAATGTTGCCTTTGGCTGGTGCAGTTTATCTGGTGCTGGAGCACATTTCCTTTTTTAAAAGACAAGAACATTTCTCAAAAGTGTGAAAAGTAAGCAAGGTCACTTCATTTCCTATACTGTCCCCAACTTCACTGCAGGTAAATCACAAACTGTATCTGCTTGTCCTAAAAGCACCAGACTGGCAACGAGCAATATAGAGCTTTGTGCATGATAAAACAGAACCTTTGTTTGCTTACTACTCTCCCTGCTTTGTTATTCCATTTCCTCTCCAAGTGGAGACGTCTGCTTTCAAAACTGGCTGACAACAGAACAGCTCTAACTGACCATGTGCCACTTTCCAGGGGCACTGACACCTACCCACATATGTAAACATGTGTGCACACTCATATGCACACACTGGTCCATGTTCATAACCGAGTTGTTACTGAATTGTAATTTGCATCAATTCCAGAGGGATTTTTAGCCAGAAAGATCAAAAGGTAGAACTCACTAATTTGAATATTTCTAAAAAACCTGTAGCTAGTTCAAATGATTAACTATGTCTCTACTAATCTCCCATAAATTGTTCTGAAAATAATATAATCCTCTGACACTGGACTACAAAAAGGGCCTGTCACATTATTTAAAGAAGATTACTACCCAAATATGCTGAAGAATGCAGGTGGGGAATCTGCTTCCTTTCTTAAGTCCATTGGATAATCACGTTTAGCAAAGAAAATTTCAGCTTGCCCTGTCTCCAACATTACAGTTCTTAACTAGTTAATTACTGCATTGACTTCAGTGCTGCATGAAGGTGYTTGAACCATCCGCTGTAGCCAGGTTCTGTTGTGGATGGACTTGCACAAATCTCACTGAGGTGACATATTTCACCTTTTCCTAAAAATATACTGAACTGCATTTATATGAAGGATGGGGGGTTTTGCCAAACTGCTGCATCATGTATTCCAGAAATGAAAACTCACAAAATATAAGTGTCTAAATGTACTGTCTCATTAAACAATTAAATCACATCCTTTCTTTTCCTCTCCCKCAATTTTTTCATTCGTTACTGAATTTCAGCATCACAGATTAAAACCTCACTTCCTTTCTACATTTTCTCCAGAACAGCCCATAGCCAGGTCAGAGGGAGGTTGAAAGAATAGCTGGGAACAGAACTTGCTGTTCAGCATCACAGCTGGAGTAGATCCAGTCTTGTTTTTCTACATCCTCTGCTCAGATACCAYGCAAAACCAGCAGGGGACCATTTTCTCATTTTCAGTCACATTTAAAAGAGAGTATATTTGTCGTTGAGCATAGGAGCCAATGCTCAGCTGATGRTTAAGCACTGTAAACTACAAGCTGAAGAAGAGTAGCCTCTCATCTTTGATCCTGAGCCCTGCTCATTGACCAGGATCACAAAAGGCTTAGGCTTGTTACTTATGCTGGTAGCCATTGCCAGTATTGGGCAGAGGGTGTTTCCCAGCTGAGCCTGACCAGGACACACCAGCACAACACAGGCTGGGGTGCCAAGCTCACACTTCAGCCCTCAGCAACACACACCAAAATCCTCTGTGTGTAAAGAGAAAGGAATCACTCCAGACTCATACCCAGAGCACAAGTTCAAAGSAGGATGGCAGATTTCAAACGTGGCATCCCCTGCCCTCAGGCAGCAGCATCCYGAAGGTCCATTTGGACTTGTGCAATGCACACTGCTGCTGTTGTTACATCATGAAACCAGASAGAATGAAAGGATTTATTTATATACTCCTCCTGCTTGCAACCACAGGAATTGTCTGRGGCTACTGTGTGTCCCACTACAGCACAACAAGCTGGCAAAGAYTTACACATACCTTGCTGTGCAGGAATGACTACAGAGACAGTGAGAGAAAGTAACTGTAGATCTCACTCCATTATTGCTGACAGGARACAGTCTGCACTCCTCATTGTACTGATAATGAGCTCTATCTCATTTCAAAACTACATTATGTGAGTTGCTGCAAGTATTACATAGTTTATTAATATATATGGAAATTCAGATTTGGATTATTCCTCTGGGAAGTTTCAATTTGAACTTGGCCAGGATCAAATGCTTCTCTGACAAAGAATTATGTACAGCATTAAATAACCATTAAAAATACAAGACATTTGTCTGCAAAGAGGGCCGTGATTATATAACAACAAAATTAATCATAAGATCGCTCACGTTAAACACATCCAAGCTGACTTTGTGCTGAAAATGCACTTCAGTGTTTGCCCAGGTCTAGTGACTGATGCTGGGTTAGCATTAAACCACACTGGCCTTGCTGTCATACAGCAGAGTCAGCACAGGCTGTGGTCATGGCAGTGCTGGACAATCCCAGCTCACTTCTGGTGTTCTGCCTGCTCTTTTCTATCAAGCAGATACTGGAGTATTTATGTAACTACAGCACAGAATAATGGAAGTGTTTATGTCTTTGAAGAACTACAGAGGAAAAAGTCTGTTATGTTACTCATTTTATCACACATCACAAGAGTGCAAGTTATAAAGGAAGACTAAACATTGAAAATGAACACAGAAAGTACTCTAAATGCAAACAGCATGGGGAAGGTCGTGTCCACCTTGCTTTGCCACGAGTCATAATGTTCCTGTTGACTGTGAACATATTTTCAAGTTGTTAAGTTAAAAAACTAAGACAAATAATTTTTCATCACATTGCTGAAAAATACATGGCAAACAAAAAGTAYCCAGAGACTGTCTGCATCATTCAGTGTGGTCTTTCTACTTTGCATCGTTCCTATTTAATACTGCAAAGAACAATTTTAATTTGCAGTGCAGTTTCATTACTTGGCCAAGGCAGAAACTGAATTGAATCCTGGAAAACAAATTGATAGTTGTATGAAAACTTTTGTTTTACTTGGTGTTTCTGTTTAACTATAAATGAAATGGAATATTAAATCCCTCAGTACAGCTGTAAGGAGTAGAAATCTTGGGACTAAGACCATGAACTCAGAATGCCCTAGAGATACATTTTCTTCCCAGCCATCTATCTTACTCTTGCTCTTGGTTTTCWTGCAAAAATTCTCCTATCAGTTTAAATTTACACTGGATTAGTTTCATGCCTCAGGCACCAAGAMCCACTTGGTAGTTCTCCTCATCTTTGTATGGTTTCCTTTTTTCTTCCTGGCTTCTTTACATGAGATTTTCTGCTTTTTAGATACAAGTTCAAAAAGGGAGCAATACCTAACTCTGAGACTTGACCTCCTAAGCAGGAGGAAGGGGGATGTACTCTACTGGGGATGTGGCACCTTTAAAGGTATTTTGCCATTTCTTTGCTGTGATGTGATACATTCCAGTCAGGGACCACAGAAGGTCACCATCCTTCTAAGTGCTGAAATCCCAGGCAGCCAAGAGAAACCATTTCAACAGTAGCTGCTCGCCCCTCTTGTGCTTGAAGAAGACTCATCACAGACMCTGTTTTGTTGGCTGGCAGAGCCTGAGCTGGGATTCTGTGCAGGCTCCTCTGTGGTAGTGGGGAGAGCTCTGAATTCCAGGGCAAACGAAGCACATGGATGGCCAGGCTCCTTCCCTCTGGGGAGCTGCAAACCCACGCAGAGCTAACCCCCCATGACACGCTTCCAACCCACCAGGGAAGCCATCTGAGTCAGAGACGGAAGAAAAGTCACAAAAAAATTAACTGAAAGCGTAGGAAGAATTTTCTGTAGAAATGACTAATCATCAGCAAAACAAAAGGAATAAAAATACCTAACTCAAGGATTTTATACGAGCTGGCTTGACTGTACAARCAGCAGTTTATCCCACAGTGCATTTATGTTTTCTGGGTTATGAGAGTAGCTACTGCTGTTTTAACCATTTCCTTGCTCTTACAGCAGTGAACACGCAGCTCCCCTGCTCATATCAAATATTCTGCATATGAAGGGCTGAAATGGCTTTGAAATGTCTATTCCCCATCA